GGCTGGATTCGAACCCACCACCTTAGGTGTATGTGGCTGGCGCCTTAGCCACTTGAGCCACAGGCACCGAGCCGTCTTTTTTTTTAAAATATAAATGTCTTAACACAATAACTAAGAGAATGACGTACAGGCTATGTTAACCAGTTTGATGAAAATGTTTCAAATTGTATATGAAAACACCACACTGTACCCCATGATTGCATTAATGTACACAGCTAACATTTAATTTAAAAAAAAAAATTCTTTTAACACATTTGCTACATGACTCCTATGTGCCCAGATAGTTGTAGGTGTTAAGAATATACAGTAATGGGGAGGCGCCTGTGGCTCAATGAGTAGGGCGCTGGCTCCACATACTGAGGGTGGCAGGTTCAAATCTGGTGGCCAAACTGCAACAAAAAATAGCCAGGCATTGTGGCGGGTGCCTATAGTCCCAGCTACTCGGGAGGCTGAGGCAAGCAAATCACCTAATCCCAAGAGCTGGAGGTTGCTGTGAGCTGTGACACCACAGCACTCTACTGAGGAGGACAAAATGAGACTCTGTCTCAAAAAAAAGAATATACAGTAGTGAATAAAGCAGATATGGTCCTTATACTTTTGTGAGTTTAAGTCATGGTGGAAGGAGACAGACTGTAAACAAGTAAACTAATAAGAGAATGGCTGATAGTGATTAATGCTGCAAAGAAAAATATTAGTATGAAAGTACTTGGGAGGAATGTATTGGTTTTGTTAAAACCTGTCTTGTGATCCTAAGATCTCTTTGGCCTTTCCCCATTTTCAAAAGTACCATTTGTGGCAAGGTCTACTCTGCGAGAACTGGTAGCAACATGTGGTGGAGGCAGCATGATCCTTAGTCACCTGGGCCAGAAGCAGCTCACATCCCATTTTTATGCAGATCTTTGTGCAGGTGTTCCTAAGACCCATTTTAATGAGATACTGTGTCCCTGTCTGAGGGTTCATGTTCCTCCAAAGGACTCACCTCCAGCAGGAGAAAAAGACAGGTAAATTAACCATTGTAATGTATATGGTGCTTGCTTACAGAAAGTTCAGAGCTAGGAATAGATGTGACACAAGGCACTGTCATCTGTCTTTGGAGGGGAGAGCAGAGGAGGAAACTAAAGATACGTCCACCCCCTTAGAGATGTTGATAATTCTGCTGAAAAGCCAGATAATATAGCTGCTGCTTCTGATAAACACAGCTAAGATTGGATACTTACTCTGTTCTGAGCTCTATTCTTTTTTTTTTTTTTTTGCAGTTTTTGGCCAGGGCCAGGTTTGAACCCACCACCTCCGGCATATGGGGCTGGCACCCTACTCTTTTTGAGCCACAGGTGCTGCCCCATCTGGGCTCTATTCTAATCATTGTGTGTTCAGTATATCATTCAGTCCTTACATGAACTTATGAAAATACCTGTCATCCCCATTTTGTAAATGAGGAAATAAAGCCTTTGAAGCTGGCTTGGCGCCTGTGGCTCAAGTGGCTAAGGCGCCAGCCACATACACCTAAGGTGGGGGTTTCGAATCCAGCTCGGGCCTGCCAAACAACAATGACGGCTGCAACCAAAAAAAAGAAAATAATAGCCAGGGTTGGTGGCGGGCACCTGTGGTCCTGGCTACTTGGGAGGCGGAGGCAGGAGACTTGCTTAAGCCCAGGAGTTGGAGGTTGCTGTGAGCTATGATGCCACGGCACTCTACCCAGGGGGGCAGCTTGAGGCTCTGTCTCAAAAAAAAAAAAAAGTGGACTAATGGGATCTGGGGTGCCTGGGGTTGTATATAGCTATACTAAAGGCATGATTCAGGGAAGACTTCCAAAGTTGACGGTGAAGCTGAGGACTAATTGATGAGGAGCCAGCCATGTAAAGCTCTAGGGGAAGAATGTTCCAGGTAGAGAAAAATACAGATGCAAAGAAGTCCTGGGTGTGAGGGTTTGGTGGTTTGAGGAACCACCAGCAGGCAGTCTGGCTAGAGAGGGTAGTGAGGTAAGGTTCAAGGGTTAATGGAGTCCAACTGTCAGAAGGAGTTAGAGATGTATTGTAAGTGTTAATATGAAGACATCAGCAGGGGGATGACAGGATCTTAATTCTGTTCTCAAAAGACCTCTCTAGCACCACCATTCTCTCAAGTACTCAGGCTGCAGACCTGGAAGACCCCCGTCCTATCAGCTGTAAACTCTGCCCAGTGTTCCTTTGAAAGATCATCTGTGTCTGCTTCTCACTGCCCTTGCCCCATGGCAGTTATATCATCAGGACTACTGTCATCTCTTGTGCAAATTACCACAGTAGCCCCTGAACTGGCCTCCCTCCTTCCCTCCAGGCCTCCGCCGGCCCTCCACCCTCCAGATACATGTAGCACTTTCTTGTTTTGCAGTTTTGATTTCTGCCTCTTGATGTCCTATCCTTAAAAGTCACCTCCTCTATGAGGTCTTTGCTGACTTTTGCTGACTCTAACCCAGTCCCATGTAGTTGCTACCTTGAGCTACATCTCTGTGGGCTTTGCCTGTACCTCCCTAGCAGATTGCTTTGTCTTCATGCTCAGGACCTGGCTGCTGGCCCTGGGAGTCCTCAAACTGGATCGTTCTCTGCAGCACCCAGGCCCTGTAGGGCCATGGTTGTCAGACTACAGACAGATCTGGGGTTCCTGTGAGTTGCATATTGAGGTCTGAGATTGGGGGTGGGGGAGTTAATGCCCATAGTTTTGTT